CTTGACAATATCAACAGTTTTGACTCCTTCCTTCCACAAAAAGAACATTATTGACCTTTGATTTTTCACCGCGTCTTCCATAATAGAAAAATAGCAAGGGACAGCACGGCCTATAACTCGAGAATGGACTGAGTGTATTGAATGGCATTGACAGGTCCTAATGCTTACATGTTGGCCTACGTATGGGCTGACTCTTGTTACCTTAGGTCTAATCGTTCTTGTTTAATAAATAAATTCCTATTACTTTTCGAACACCCCTCGTAATGATCTCATTTCACCCCTCTCGATTAGTTATAGAATTAGTTTCTATACTAAAGTCTGCAGGGCGCCTGATAAGACCCTTTCGGCCAGCTGGCACCAGCAAAACAGCTCTCTGCTCTCTTGGGGCTCCTGTCCTAACTCACTCCTGATAGGGCGTAAAGACTTCATAGCAGGTCCTGCTTGACCGAATCTCATGAAGAATACGTGAAGTGGGCGTGGCTTCCCAATGACGTCACAACGGTGTGTATAAAAGGAAACTTCACAGCCATCTTCCCATTTTACCCCCCTAGTGACCCCTGGCCTGACAACACCACCAGGTGGCTGGCCGCGGATCCACCCAACCCCAAGACCTCCGGTCCATCATCGCAACCCCAAGACATCACTTCAACTCCAACTGAAAATGAAATATCTCTCTATATCCCCCAATTGTATATTTCATTCCACCCCACCTTGTATCCTCTTTCTGTGAAGGGCATGCTGTACAAATAAATGGTCTTTGAACAAAAACCATCCTCCCTCACTCTGACTCCAACTGCCAAGGAAGGATGTTGGTAGCCTTGTGCTTCCATACTTTCAGATGATAGTTTGCCTGCACCATATGGAAATACGAAATATGGAAATATCTTGGGTTCTCCTGTAGACAGTTTTCTCATATCTTCTCTTTCTGTTCTACTACACCCTTATTTGGTTGGTTTCCGCTTTACTATGAACAGAAGCAGCGGGAAAACGTGCATACTTCCATCTTGTGGCTCAACGTATCAGAACAGTAGAGCTGAGAAACTTTCATTTCATGTCTTTCCCACAGAGGAGGAAGGAAAATCAAAATGACTGAAAGCCTTGGGTTTATCTGCTGTACCAAAAACAACATGAGTCTGTTCGCTTCGTTTTGCAGACGATAGTAATCATGGAAGGTTTCTGGTTCAGAAGATATTCTGTACCCATTTTCAAAGCCCACATACTTCTGATATCTCCTTCTGATATCTGATTCTGATATCTGATATGATAATCAGTCCTGGAATCGATCAGTCAAATGCAGCACTTGCCAGTGACTTTGTCGGACGTTTCTTTGAAGACAGTGAGGAAAATACAAACTTACGAGAAACTGAACATGAAAAACAATGATGAGAAGATGTCCGCTTTCTTCGGAGGAAGCTTGAAGCTCGATAATGCTAGGGCAAAGTTACGACAAAAGACTTAGTTGCACAATCATATTCTGAAGAATAAAAACAAGATGATTCCAGAACTGAAACAGAAATACAGCAAAATGATGGATCCATCTGCTTTGAGGAAAATCTTCACTGAAACCCAGCTGAATGTCATCAAGGCTGGGGAATCACGCCCTGGAAAATGGTCAAGTCTTGATTACACCAGAGCAATCCCTCTTCGATTAATGCATTACCACGCTGAAGGCATGCCGGAAAAAGGTCGCATTTGCTGCTTGTCTTACAGTTTTTCCCAATTGCTAACGTCCGTTTCTCAAAACTACACTTCCGTTTTCAAAACTATTTGAAGAAATCCCAAAACTTTGCAATCTTTTCACAAAACTTAACATCCGATTTCATTGCTAACGGACGAAAAGCGAAACTGGAAGTGCGATTTTCATATTTTCACGGAACTTTTTCGAAACTTAACGTACGGAAAAGGATAAGAAGGCCGATCCGACGAGCGCCAAGGATGGATGCACGGCTGACGACTACAATCCATTGGCCTATACTCCAACGAGTCCCTTCCAACCGATCACAAAGATTTTCTCATCATTTAGAGTTGTCAGAGCTAAATGCGTCGTCTTAAACGCTGAAAGAATTTCTTACGTCGATGCAGAAATGTAAGCGATAATGCTGACTGCGATTCAGTAGTATCCTAAATACCTGATCTTGAGTATTTACTTACGATTAATTTCCGTTACTACTAGCTAAAAAGGGTTGAAAAGGGAATTGCAGCCCCGAGTTTAGCTTCGTTGGCTGCTTCAGGAGTACGTACGTCGTGCATGGGTGAAAATTGTTGCTTATTGCCTTGAGCTGATCACATCCGTCAGCCATTTTATGGTCATTTTTGTTTGCCATAGGTTACAAAAGTTGTATGACCTTGGGGCCCATTTTCGTTCATAGATATGAGCGTTAATTGCGAAAATCTCATGTTATGATCGCCAAATCTTTCCAACTTAGGCTCGCTCAATTGGCT